TGTGTCCACAAATTTACGTCGTCTTAATTTTGTCGACTCATGAATCTAATTTAGCTAAATTTTATGGGGTATATCTATTTGTTGTAATAGTTGGATTTGCTGTAAGCAATACCTGTAGTAGGTAAGGTTACAAACATAAGGGATAAATATAGGTATAACAATAATAGTATAATAATGTTTGTTTATTTTCTCCCACAATAAATTGTAATAAGTAAGAGACCTCTGTTATATTTCGATGACTGAAATATACTACTTTCTTCTTTTTCTTCTTAGCGCATCGCTGACATACATTATACTATTGTGACCCAGAACTTAGCCACGCCGACCGCATCACTAGTAGCCGCCATTAAATCTTCAAGCGTGCAGGTGGTAGGGCACACACGGCAAGATATAAGGTGGGCCATCGTTTCAGTTGCACCGCACAAACAGTCCAGGGTAGAATCATCCGAAAATCCCCACCTGAACAATTTATTCTTGCTCCGACGAACCTGAGTTCGAAGTCTATTTAAAGACGTCCAGATCAGCCATGGCAATTCGTGTCCAGGAGGAAGACTCTCAAGAAGGCAGAACAAACGTAGATGGTACTCTTCCGCGCCAAAGATTCACCTCGCCTGAGCCGGCTCAACGCTCAGAGGATCGATACATTTGACAAAACTTTGCCGGCTCCTCAGTCTCTATTGCACTGTAGAGTGATCGTGCATAAGGTGCCGAGTGTCGATGGCCATATTTTTTGCTCTTTCGCAAGTTGCCGCTACATTTCTCCGGATGTCTGGCGGTTCTATGCCAGCTAATGGGTACAGAAATCTCATCGGGGTCGGCTTAAATCTCATACATATAAGGCTGTGTCCACTAATTTTACTGGGATGTAGAACGGCTCCAAATATGAAATAATCTGCGTATTCGCCAGCAGAAAAAGAAACTGCCACTGGGCTGGCAGTGTACTATCTTTAGGCATTATGCAATAGTCAACAAGGCTACTATCATTTAAGTCGATAATGATTATAGGCTCAGTATTCATCATCATAAAGTTGTAATTACTTGAAAAGCGTTACAATATTAATACAGTTTTTTCGTACGGTCTAATTTTTATTACAATGGTCTAAAAGTGCATTACGTAGTTGGTTCGCTTTGGCCAAAAATTTCATATCTGGAACAACGCCATTTGGCAGGTAGATTGCTGTTTAACTTACGATACAACTGACTGTAACTTTACAGTTCAACTTGTTTTTGCCAAGAAATTCACGTGTCTAAGGCCCTTAATCCACTAACCACGAGAGCCAAAAGTCGAAGACTTTAATGATACATTATAGTCATGCCGATTAGTCGTAGTACACAAAATATATAATTGCTTTTTTCTGCTACATTTTAATAGGTTTGATTTTGATTAATGGATACCACGTATAATCTGAACAATGTTGGTATAGAATAATAGAACAACGAAAGTATGTAACAACTTATTGGTACATTGTATTAAATTATTCACGGCTTTCATTGTCATTATACCGTACTCAACCGTGTTAAACACTATAATATCAAAAGCAACATTTTGAGAAAAGCTGCGTAAATCATTTTTCGGCTTTTTTCATTTTTTGGATTTGTAACATAAAAAAATAAAATTAACGTACGTTTGTCGTACCTTGTTCATTAGATATTGAAGAATCTATCTAGCCACGAATAAATCTCTTCTCCTTGGATAAGAACCGAAAGATCCTTGTTCTTATGAAATTACAAAACACTGTATTGAGCCTTGCAGTGTTTTGGTTTGACACAATAGCACTTAGTATGTATATACGTGAGGCGCACTATAAGTTTCCGGAATTAATAAGAAAAAAATACTATAAATGGTCAGAAATGAATTTATTGTTTCTCAAAATATTCTAAGTTACCGTTAATGCACTTTTTCATACGAGTGACCCAATTTTGAAAATATTTATGCCACTCCTCCGTGACAATTTCTGAAACACATTTTTCATACTCTTCGACAGGTGATAAAAACGTTGACCACGTAACTGGTTCTTAATTTTTGGAAATAAATAAAAGTGACAAGGTGCCAGGTCGGGACTGTACGCGGGATGGCTCATAAGGTCAACGTTGTTCACCTTCAAAAATTCATTTGTCTGTCTGGCCGTATGAGAACTGAGAGAACATTATCGTGGTGCAAGATGATTTACGGTTATTTTTACGGAGTTTGTCAATAAGTTCCGGCAAACAAATGGTCGTGTACCAATCACTATTCACGGTACAACGATTCTCCAAAGCCAAAGTAGCCACGTGTCCAGTTTTATTAAAAAAAGAAGCAATCGTCCGCTTAGAGGCACTTTGCACGTGCGCCACTTTGGTTGGTTTCGGCTCATCTCGAAAGATCCATACGCTCGGTTGTTGCTTTGTTTTGGGATCTTTGTTTGGGATGGGATAGCTATAAATCCATATTTCGTCACCTGTTACCAGTTTCCAGACCAAATTTGACGCCCCTTCGTTGAATCTGGTAAGCATAGCATTGCACCAAGTGACGCGATCCGTTTTTTGAGCCTCATTCAAATTGTGTGGGATCCACCGAGAGCACAGCTTTTTCACACCAAAATGTTTGTATATTGATTGTATTTGACTCATGCCTATGCCTAAAGATGTATGTAACATGCCTGTCTGTTTTGATCATACGGCATACAGCATCGATGTTTTTGTTGTTCACGAAATTCGTCACTGAGATTCACACGACCGCGTTTGAATTCTGCAAACCAGCTATAAATAGTCGTCTTGCATGGTGCTTCATCGTTTAAAGCAGTTTGAAGCTAAGCGAAGTTCCGCTGAGCTGTTAAATTACACTTAAAGTCGCAGAAAATCGTACTACGAAAATTTTCACTAGTTGAATCCATGGTGATGTAGACAACCAAAATCTAAAATGACGCCACAATGTAAAAACAAGTGATAGTCAGATGAAACAAACTGTATTCTACAGGCAAAGAGTTCCATTTTCAAATGTTGTAATTACTTTTTAAATGTTGTTTATGTTAATGGCCAGTTCCGGAAACTTATAGTGCGCCCTATGTATAGTACATATCCAACACTGATGTAATAATAAATCACAGCGATACAGACGCACTTCCGACAATGCACTTAGTGTAGCGACGCGACGTTGCGATGCATTAAAACGAGCAATGCAACATAAACTTTATATCCTACACGATTAGTAGTAGAAAGCTCCTTGTGAAAGAGTTCGTCCAGAGAAGTACTGCCAACTTACCTATTTCTGCCGCCAAGCAGTAATGTGAGCATTATTGCGTTCATTATGTCCTATGTGCCTATGAAATTACAGGCATATAGGACTTGTCAACTTATGTTTCAGGATGAAGGGCGCGGTGGTAGTGCCATTTGAGCTGCTTTGCGACTGTTATGGACAGATGTGTCGCTTACAAGCAGGCCCATGATTTATTTGTCCCGCCTCTTGGTATTAAAAAAAAGATAAGGTTACATTTCTCTAAATAAAATAATAATAGTCTAAACAAAAAAAATACAAGTATATGAAAAACACATTAGGTTTTTAAATTACGAATAGAAAGAAAATCACATGAGTTTGGGTAATACCTATGTTTGACTAACTGTGACCTAAGTTGTTTTCTTAGAAACAACATTGCTACCAAGTTGAAATTTGGCACAGTATCACAGCTTGATTGCCCAGTGTTTATCCTAGGTGGACGAATATAGTAAACACACGAAATTGCGTGAAACCCTTTGTTATAGATATACCCAAAATTCGCACGAAGCGTTACGCTGCTACATTTATTTGGCGTACGGCGTTATAGTAGAATACCCTGCCTGCAAATTTGTTCCCTGATCTCTCTAATTTGGAAATATTCAAGGCGCATGCTTTGCATGCTTCATCGCTGACTTCATCATCACTAGGGCTCGCATAAATATGCAGTATAAACTACAAAATATGTACATATAAAATCTAATTTTCGTTACTGGTATTGATACAATACAAAATTACATGTTTTTTAAATTTTCAAAATTAAAATTCTGACTGTTTGGCCGTGACATTACTTTGGCTGAATGACCTTTCGGCGTCACAGGTTGTAACTGGAGCAAACTTAAATTTGCACAAGTCCGTAAGTGAATAGGTCTTCCAATCTTCCCTATAGTACACTGTTAATTTTTGTTAGTGTATTAAAACTTTTCAAGTGCATATAAGTATATAATATTTTCTTTTTTCAAGTATATTGTTCAATTATATAAAATAATCACGTAATATTGAAATTACGTGATAATTACAAGTTTCGTGTGGAAATGTGGTCTAAATCTGGATATATAGAAAAATAAGGACAATAAAGGTCTTTTTTCCATTCTAAATAATTATGTAGACAACAAATTAAAGAACATCAATTATTGAAATCAAAAATATGTAATTACATATTAATCCGGGCCCTAATCATCACTCTCCATCAAGTAAGATGGAGGTATTTTTTTAATACCAAGTGATCGAACGAAGTTGTGCGCCTGGTGGTCAACGATACGCCTGTCCACAGCAGTTGCAAAGATCTGAGGGGCACTACCATTATACCTATCACCTTAGTTGACAAGTCCCATGTGCCTGTAATTTCACCAACATCATTATTACCATTCAAAACCAGATGTGAGTGTACGCCAAGCAATAATGCTCACATTACTGTATACCTATTTCTGCCACCAAAATAAGGAAGGTGGAAGTACATTCCTGTACGAACATTTCACAAGGAGCTCTACTACTACTAAAAATGCGCACTTATATTATACATTAAGCGTTTTAAAAACGAGGTATAAAGAGAATTGAAATCTAAAATTGGAGCGACTACGCCTCCCACTAACGTCATCAATTGAAAAGTTTTTCTTTGTACAACTATTAATTATTGCCTCTATTTGCAATATACATACACCTGCTACTCTATTCTGGGCACCTGTAACTTCAACTTTTATTTAGAACAGGAAGTATTAATTATAAACCAAACACATGTTTCTCTTTTCAGGTAGTAAGAAAACCAATAATGAGGACAGCGCGTAACATGTTCATCGCGAATCTTGCAGTTTCTGATGCCCTGGTATGCTGCGTTGGTACTCCCCTAACTTTGATGGAGCTGTTAACCAAGCATTGGCCTTTGCCTGATTGGCCCAGTCTGTGTAAGGCCTGTGGAGCAATACAGGCCATTTCTATATTCGTTTCTACGATTTCTATTACAGCTATAGCTCTGGATAGATATCAGGTACGTTTGTTAAATGCATTTATGAACTATTTTGATATAAAATTAATCAGTACCTATTTGGTGGAGTAATATCCCCCTTACAATCACAGCATAAGGTACCTTTAACATTATATATTGTTTTTTTTTTTTGGATAAGTTTGTAAGAATCAATACATCACATAGTAAGTACATTAGAATATGCCCAAACACATTTTTAACAATCAAACACGGATCACAAATAAAGCAATCCAGATAAAATTTAGTAAATGCGGTGTCGTATATTTCTGAATAAACTTATTAAATGTGAATTCAAAAGAAATCTAGTACAATCGAAAAATAATTCTTTAATGTTGTCAAAATATAACTACATTTGAAAATATGAAAGGAAGCTTATAAGTGAAAAGAAAAAAATGTACAGCGACATTAAATCTTAATAAAATCCAAGTCCACCTGAATAAATTACTTTCTGATTTTTCAAGGTTCACGTTTTAATGACAAAAATACTAAAAAAGTAGGCCCATAAAGTTGAACAAAAATCAAGAATTGATTGAACGGCGATAAGTCAGACGTCTAAAGTTGGAAATCGCTGATTTCCTGTTTGTTACCAAGCCGCCGACGTCGTCGCTTCGTACCACGATAGAAAATAAAGAACATTTTTATTTAAAGAATTTCGTGGAAGACGCCGACTTTATAGCCATCGTCAAAATAGGAGATTCTTAAGGCTACTATGTCTTTTCAATGTATTTTAGTGTCGTATTTCGGCCATTGTGATCCGAAATAAAGGATACCTACTGTTTTATTCAAAAAGAACTATAGGATAGTCCCATGTAAATTGGGTTATAGTCTAATAATAAGCCTAAAAGACTTTGAAAGTCTTCGCTTTGGATAAATATTATTGTATCTTTGTATACGTAAATTAGTCTACTTTTTATTTTAGTCGTGTTATATCTTAGGGTGAAGCCAGACAAGCGTAATCGTGTGGGTTTGAGTCGTGGTTTTTGAGTTGCTTAGTTTTCTCTGCATTCGGTTTCGTATAAATTCAAATTTAAATTCAAATTATTTATTTCGAACGTTATACATCCATATTAGTTAGTAATACAAACAAAAACTTACCTACTAATGTTAGTAAATTACAAATATTGACTGTAAAAAAGTGCTGTTTGTGCCATACGACGACGCAAAATGAGTTGTCTGTTGACTCACGCATGTAATTACAACCGAACTTTGATCGTTTGACTATATGAAGAGCTTGTACAGGTGGAGACAGGAAGGAAGGCAGGCGAGGGAAACATTTATTGGCCTGTGTCTTTATTTTACAAATTGATAATATAATACAGAATTTCTTAACATTTTTCTAGTCATGGACCCTCTCAAAATTTCCAGTTCAATTCCACAGGTCCTTTCCGAAAAGATCCGAAAAGATAAAGAATAAAAAGAAGACTTGCGGGTTGCATTGACATAGTCTTGCTCGCTACAATTATGGATGACCGTCAAAGGGAGCAAAAATTCACACGCACACGCACACGCACACGCACACG